CTATCCAATGACATACCTATGGTCTGATATAGGACAGCAGTACATTTCTGTGATGTTGGTACACCTCTTGACTTGTCCGACTCTCCACTGACTACACTGTCTCCTCGTTTAAATGGGTATCAATACTCATATGCTTTACAGGTAGTTAATAGCAAAAATAATGGAGTCAGTATAGATTACATTATGTATATAATGCGTATATTTCATAATTTTGCTATTGTATTTTTCTCAGACAGTATAATAACCTATGTGACATGTCAAGATATCTTATTAATGAAAATAAGATACCAGATATAGTAAGCAAATTTCCTAAATTTGCTTGTAACAGATAAGTGAACTATAGATATGTAGATATAAATCCATATGTATTCCTGTTAACCCTTTGGGGCCTGGTTCCTAGGCCTTTTGTGTATCCATATGCTCTCGCGCTACCGTCCACAGGATGGATATGGGGTGCACAATAAACTAGCCACTTCGGTGGCAAAATCTAATCTGCAAATTTTGCAACTGTAAGTTGTAAGTGTGCAGTGTGTATTATACAGTTTGTATCATAGGCCAGGGCAGTGCTGTCCTTTATGTTACGTGTCGCACCCTGGGAAATATTACTGCCAGTCATTGCTTTACAGACGTGTGGAAGGCTCAACGTCCCTTGACGTTCCAACAATGCCTGACGTTCTGTGTAGCTCTCTGTTACCCCTGTATGTAGAGATTTATTCTCCAGTGCTGTCTTATGTTCCATGGCCCCAACTATCGCCATTTTCACCTGCACTGTGTTCTCTTCTAGCAGCATTATGAAAGAGTTTTAGGCCCGGTGTTTGCATCATTTTGTAAGGCAAAAACGCCAGAGAGCTAAGTTCTGTGATTGAATTTCAATTCTCACTTGCTATACACCCATGTTGTCGGGTCGGGACGACTCGGGGTGTGTGGCCGAGAAAAATGTTATGTTATTTCTGCCCTTTAATTCCATAATGACCGCTTGGGCCTCTTTCACTACTGTTGCTTGAGGGCCTGAGCAAGGTGTCAGCTGACCCTCAGGGTTGACACAGGGCAGAGAGCCTGGGCAAGGTGTCAGCTGACCCTAAGTGTTGATGCAGGGCAGAGAGCCTGGGCAAGATGTCAGCTGACTCTCAGGGTTGACACAGGGCAGAGAGCCTGGGCAAGGTGTCAGCTGACCCTAAGTGTTGATGCAGGGCAGAGGGCCTGGGCAAGGTGTCAGCTGACCCTAAGTGTTGATGCAGGGCAGAGAGCCTGGGCAAGATGTCAGCTGACTCTCAGGGTTGACACAGGGCAGAGAGCCTGGGCAAGGTGTCAGCTGACCCTAAGTGTTGATGCAGGGCAGAGGGCCTGGGCAAGGTGTCAGCTGACCCTAAGTGTTGATGCAGGGCAGAGAGCCTGGGCAAGATGTCAGCTGACTCTCAGGGTTGACACAGGGCAGAGAGCCTGGGCAAGGTGTCAGCTGACCCTAAGTGTTGATGCAGGGCAGAGGGCCTGGGCAAGGTGTCAGCTGACCCTAAGTGTTGATGCAGGGCAGAGAGCCTGGGCAAGATGTCAGCTGACTCTCAGGGTTGACACAGGGCAGAGAGCCTGGGCAAGGTGTCAGCTGACCCTAAGTGTTGACACAGGGCAGAGAGCCTGGGCAAGATGTCAGCTGACCCTAAGTGTTGACACAGGGCAGAGGGAATGGGCGAGGTGTCAGCTGACATAGGGCAGAGGAAGGACTTGTCAGCTGCTGCCATGGCAAGGCACAACTCTCCCCACTCTTAAACTTTGCCTTAGTGTGTTTATATAGTTAATTTGATTAAGTGAGCCCTACCATACATATGTCATTCTAGTCTATAAGACGTTTATATAGCCGGCATACCACTTCAAACACCTGTTTTTAACCATTTCCCAACCTGGGTTTTTTGGGGTTTTTTTTTTGGGGGGGGGGGGGGGGGGGGGGGGGGGGGACTTTGGCCCAGCTCCCCTTCCTCTTTTTTTGGACAAGGAGATGTTTCCCCCCCCGAACAAATCTTTCCTGGAACCCTTTCCCGTTTTAGTTTTTGCAATTTTGAAAGCTCCTGGTGATGTTGATTGCAACAATAAAGGGCCCAAGCTATCATCCAACTCCCCATGTGGTTGAAAAAAATTTTGCATATATACAACATAACCCCCCAAAACCCCACACACACAATACAAAACACACACACACATACCACACACACACACACACAAAACACACACACACACCCACACACAACACACACAACCCACACACAACACACACACACACACACACACCACACACACACACACACACACACACAACAAACACACCACACACACACACACCACACCCACACACACACAATTTGGGGTACCACAACACTTTATGGGGAAAAATTTCACAAGTAGAACCGGCATTGATTTTTTCTTTGTAAACAGTGTTTTCTAAGGACTGACCATGTCTTTTAACAGTGCCCCCCCCCCCCCCCCCCCCCCCATAAAGAAACTAAACTTGAAATTTAAAAAACCTCAAAACAATTTTTTAAAACCCCCCAGTGCGGGCCCTAGGGTTTTTGGGGTTAACCCAACATATTTTTCTTCCCAAAAAACCCTAATAAATTTAAATTTCCCCCACAAATTAATTATATATATAATATATATATATATAAAAATATATAATTATAATTTTAAAATATATATATATATAAAAAATTATTATTTAAAACTCCTGGCCCCACTTTTAAAAATAATTTTTAAAAGGGTGGGAAAGAAAAATTTTAAAATTTTATAATTTTTAAAGGGGAGTATAAAATTTAGACAATTATCTCTTGAGGTGTTCAGTGTTTTTATGAAATATTGAAAGATAATTTTCCCGTGTTTTTATCAGTATACGTCAGGTATTGTCAAAGATCATTTAGTGTAGGGTCAGTATAGTGTCATGTAGCCCTATAGTGGGGGGAAATAAACTCAGTTAGTGCAGTGTAGGGTCAGTATAGGGGGTTTAGTTTTAACTCAGTTTTAGTGTCAGTGGGAGCTCCTTAAAAAGTGTCAGTGTAGCCCCAGTAAGTGCAGGTTAAAATCATATAATGTTTAGTGTAGCTCATAAAGTGGGCGTGTACTCAGTTTTGGGGGTTCCCGTTTTAACTCAGTATAGTTCCCGTGTAGCTCAGTAAAAGTGTCGTGTACTCAGTAAAGGTTTAGTGAAAATCAGTAAGGGGTCAGGGTAACCCCAGTAAAGTGTCTTTTAACTCAGTATAGGGTTAGTGTAAACAGTATAGTGTCAGTGTAAATCGTAAAAGTGTTTGTGTAACTCATAAAGTTTAGGTAACTCAGTAAAAGGTTTTCAGTTTAAATCATATAGGGGTTAGTGTAAAGTATAGTGGTTTAGGTAACCAGGATATGTCGTGAGCTCAGTATAGTGTCAGTGTAGCTCATAAAAATGGTCTTTTAGGCTCATTAGTGCCCCGTGTAACCCCAGTATAGTGCAGGGAGCTCATATAGGGTTTAGTGTAACTCCTATAAATGTTTAGGGAAACCCCAGTATTTTGGTCAGTGTAGCTCCAGAAAAGTGGGCAAAGTAGGCCAGTAAGTGGGCAGTGTAAAATCGGTATAGTGTCCCTGAGCTCCCGTATAGTGGGCAGTGTAGCCAAATATAGTGGGCATGTAAAATCAGGGAAAGTTTTTTTTCAGGTAACCCAGTAAATGTCCCGTGTTAAATCAGTATAGTGGTTTTGTGTAACTCCGAAAAGTGTCCCGTTTAACTCAGTATGTGTTATGGGAACTCAGTAAAATTTTTTGTAACTCAGTATAGTTTCAGTTTTAACCAGTATAGTGTTAGTGGGAACTCCCTATAGGTTGTGTAACTCAGTATAGTGGGCATGTAACTCAGTATAGTGTCCCGTGTAAAATCAGTATAGGTTAGTGTAAACCAGAAAAGTTTAGGTAACTCAGTATAGTGTCAGTGAACTCATATAGTGTCAGTGTAAGGGTCTTTTAAAATGTTTAGTGTAACTCAGTATAGTGGGTTTGTGTAAACTCATTTTAAATGTCCCTGTGGGTCAGTAAAAGTGTCCCCGTGTAACTCATTATAGTGGTTTAGTGTAGCTCAGTATAGTGTCAGTGTACCATAAAGTGCAGTGAAACTTAGAAAAGTGTCAGGAACTCATATAGTGTCAGTGGGAAAATCAGATAGTGGCAGTTTTAGCTCATATAGGTTTGTGTAACTCATAAGTGGGCAGTGTAACCAGTAAAGTGTCAGTGTAGCTCAGTATAGGTTTATGTAAAAATTTAGTATAGTGTTAGTGGACTCATAAAAGTTCCCGTGGGAAGCTCAGTATAGTGTCCCCCGTAAAACCCGTATAGTGTCATGTTTTGCTCAGTATAGGTCGTTTTAGCTCAGTATAGTGTCAGTGTACTTTGTATAGTGTCAGGGGTAGCTCAGATATTTTTTGAAAATCAGTAAAATGGGCATGTACTCAGTTTTAGGGCATGGGAGCTCATAAAGTGTCAGTGTAGGGTCAGTATAAATGTCAGTGTAGCTTTAGTAAGTTCCCTGTAACTCAGTAAGTGTCAGGTTTTGCTTTAGTATAGTGTCAGTGGGAACTCAGTTAAAAAAAAAGTTTTCATTTTAAATCAGTTTTAGTGTCATTTACTCAGTATAGTTTTCAGTGAAACTCGTATAGTGGGCATGTAAACTCAGTATTGTGGTTTAGTTGTAAGCTCATATAGTGTCAAGGGAGCTTAATATAAATGCCGTGTAGCTCAGTAAAAGGTTTTTGTGTAACTCAGTATATGCAGTGTAGCTTTATTTTAGGGGTCGTGTAAACTCAGTATAGTGTCAGTGACTCAGTATAGTGTCCCGTGAGCCAGGAAAAGTGTCAGGTAGCTATTTCAGTTTTCAGTGTAACCAGTAAAGTGCCCGTGTAACCCCAGTAAAAGTGCAGTGTTTAAATCAGTAAAAGGTTATGTTTAACTCAGTAAAAATGCAGTGTAAACTCATAAATTTTCAGTTTAACCCAGTAATTTGTGTCATGTAACCTGTATAGTGGCAGTGTAGCTCATATAAGTGTCCCGTTTTAAATCAGTATAGTGCAGTGTAAAATCAGGTTCCCGGTCCCGTGTACTCAGTATAGTGGGCGTGTAGTCAGTAAAGTGTCAGTGGGAGCCAGTATAGTGTCATGTAACTCAGTATAGTGTCATGTACTCAGTAAAGTGTCAGTGAAAATCGAAAAGTGTCAGTGGAGCTCCCGTAAAAAGTGTCAGTTAACTCCGTATAGTGGGCCCGTTAAAATCAGTATGTGTCGTGTACCTAGTTTTAGGGGTCAGTGAAGCTCAGTATAGTGTCATGTTAAACTCAGTAAGTGGGCAGTGTAACTCAGTATGTGTCAGTGTAAACCCGGAAAAGTGTCAGTTTGCTCATTTTAGTTCCTTTTGCTTTAGTATAAATGTCCCCTGAAACCCCAGTATAGGTTTTCCGTGGGGCTCAAAAAATTTGTGTCAGTGTAACTCTTTCAAGGGCAGTGTAAACTCAGTAAATTTTCAGGTAGGGTCCGGGATAGGGGTCAAATGTAGCCTCATTAGTTCATGTAACTTCCCGTAATTTTCATTTACTTTAGTATAGGGCAGTGTAACCCGTATGTGTCAGTGTCTCAGTTAAATTTTTCATTTTAACTCAGTTTTAGTGGCAGTGTAACTCAGTATAAATGTCAGTGTAGCTCAGTATAGTGTCCGTGTAACTCAGTATAAAATGTCATTTTAGTCAGTAAAGTGTCAGTGTAAACTCAGTATAGTGTCATTGTCCAGTATAGTGTCATGTAACCCCAGTAAAAGTTCCCGTGTAAATCAGTAAAGGTCAGGGGTAGCTCAGGAAAAGGGTCAGTGGCCATTTTAATGTCAGTTTTAAACCCGAATAGTGTCATGTAGCTCAGTAAAGTGCAGGTAACTCATAAAAGGTCATGTAGCTCCCGTATGTGTCCCGTGTAACCCCCGTATAAATGGGCAATTTTTTTGCTCAGTATTGTCATGTAACTCAGTAAGTGGGGCAGTGTAGGGTCAGGAAAAGTGGGCAGTGAAACTCAGTTAGGGGTCAGTGTTTGCTCAAATAAAAGTGTCAGTGGGAACTCAGTATAATGTCATGTGCTCAGTATAGTGTCAGTTTTTCTCAGTAAGGGGAGTGTTTGCTCAGTATAGTGTCAGTGTAAAATCAGTATAAGTGCCAGTTTTAAATCAGGATGTTCAGTGAACTCAGTTTCAGTGTCAGTGAAACTCAGTAAGTGCCCGGGGTAGCCAGTAAATGTCATGTAAACCCCTAAGTGTCCCGTGTAACCCCAGTATAAATGGGCAGTGTAGCCGTATAGTGCCAGTGTAAAATCAAATAGTGTCAGTGTAGCTCAGTTTTAAAATGTCAGGTAACTCAGTAAAGGGCAGTGGGAGCTCAGTATAAATGTCAGTGTACTCAGTAAGTGTCATGTAGCCAAATAAATTCAGTGAAACTCAGTATAGTGCAATTTTAAACTCATAAAAGTGTCATGAAAATCAGTATTGTTAGTGAACTCATATAGTGTCAGTGTAACTCCGTTAAAAATTTTTTAATTTTAACTCTTTTTATTGGCTGTAGCTCAGTAAAGTGTCATGTAAACTCAGTATAGTGGGGCAGGTAGCCCCGAAAAAGTGTCCGTGGGAAACTTTAGTAAAGTTTTCCCGTGGAACTCATAATGTTTATTTTACTCAGTAAAAAGTGTCAGTGTAAAATCAGTAAGGTCAGTGTAAAAACCCGTAATGTCCGAGTAGCTCATATAGTGGGCATGTAAACTTTGGGATAGTGGGCACTGGGAACTCAGTATAGTGTCAGTGTAGCTCAGTAAATGTCCCGTGAAAATCATATAGTGTCATGGGCTCAGTATAGTGTCAGTGGGAACTCATATAGGTCCCGTGTAGCTCTGATAGTTCATTAACTCAGTAAGTGTCAGTTTTAACTCAGTATAGTGTCAAGGGAACTCAGGATAGTGTCGTGTGCTCAGTATAGTGTTTATGAAGCTCAGATAGGGCCCGTGTAGCTCAGTAAAAGTGTCATGTAACCAGTATTTGGTCATGTAGCTCAGTTAGGTCAGTTTAACCAAATATAGTGTCCCGGTAAACTCCGTATAGTGTCAGTGTAACTCAGTATAGTGCCAGTGTAACTCAGTATAAAGGGCAGTGTAACTCAGTAAAATTTCAGTGGAAAATCATAAGGGTCAGTTTAGCTCAGTATAGTGGGCCCGTGTAACTCAGTATAGTGTCATTTTAAACTCCCGTAATAGTGGGCAGTGTAACCTCAGTATAGTGTCCCGTGTAGCTCAGTAAAGTGTCAGTGTAAATCATGTAATTTTTCCCGTGTAGCTCAGTATAGGGTCAGTGTAGGCTCAGATAGGGGTTTGGTTTGCTCCCTATAAATTTTAGTGTAACTTTAGTAAAATGTCATGGGAAAAATCAGTATAGTGGTTTTTGTGTAACTCTGTAAGTGTCAGTGTAGCTCATATAGGGTCCTTTTTAACCTTTTATAGTGGGCAGTGTAACTCCTTTTAAATGGGCAGTGAAACTCAGTAAGTGTCCAGTGTAGCCAGTATTTGTGTCCCGTTAACCATATAGTGTTAGTGTAGCTCATATAGTGTCAGTGTAAACTCAGTATATGTCAGGTACCAGTAAGGTGTCAGTGTAGCTTCCCGTATAGTGTCAGTGTAACTCAGTAAAAGTGTCAGTGTAGCTCATATAGTGCAGTGTAACTCAGTAAAAGTGTTTATTTTAAAATCCGTAAAAAGGGGAGTTAGCTCAGTAGTTTCAGTGTAAGGGTCAGTAAAGTGTCAGTGTAACCATTTTAGTCAATGGGAGGGTCGGATATGTTCCCCCGGGAGCTCATTTTAGTGGGCCAAATGTAACCCCAGTAAAAGTGGCCGTGTTTGCTCAGTATAGTTTTTAGTGTAGCTCAGTAAAAGTGTCAGTGTAGCTCGGGATAGTTCATGTACTCAGTAAAAGGGTCAATGAAACTCAGTAAAAGTGGCAGTTAACTTTATTTTAAAATGTCATTTTAAGCTCATAGGTCAGTGTAGCTCATATAGTGTCGTGTACTCAGTATAGTGTCAAATTTAACTCTATATGGTTTAATTTTAGCTCATAAAAGTGGGCATGAAACTTCAGTTTTAGTGTCAGTGTAGCTCAAATTTTTTAAATGTCAGTGTAACCCAGTTAGTGTCAGTGGGACTCAGTATAGTGTCATGTAACCCCTATAGTGTCAGTGAACCCCAGTATAGTGTCAGCGAAAAATCAGTATATTTTCATGTAGCTTTAGTATAGGGGCAGTGTAAACCCGTATAGTGTCCCGTGTAAAATCCCGTAGGGGTCCAGTGTACTCAGTATTTGTGTTTATGTAACTCATATAGTGTCCCTTTTAACTCCAAAAATAGTTCATGTAGCTCCGTAAAATTTTCCCCCTAGCCCCCTTTAAAAAATTTTTTAGTGTCCCGTGTAACTCAGTATAGTGTCAGTGTAACTATATGTGTCAGGGTAGCTCAAATAGTGTCATGTAACTCAGTATAGTGTCAGTGTAACTCATAAAAGGGTCAGTGTAGCCCAGATGTTCATTTTAACTCATATAGTTTTCAGGGTAGCTCAGTATAGTGGCCGTGTAACTCAGTATTTGTGTCATGTAACCAGTAAGGTCGTGTAGCTCAGTATATGCAATTTTAACTCAGTTTTAGTGTCATGGGAACTCATTTTAAAAATTTAGTGTAGCTCCCGTATAAATGTCAGGGAGGGTCAGTATAGAGTCAGTGTAACTCCCGTAATGGCAGGTAACCAATTTTAGTGTCAGTGGGAACCAGAATTTGTGTCAGTGAAACTCATTAAAAGTGGGCAGTGGGAACCCAGTATAGGTTTATGTTTCCCCAGTATAGGTCAGTGGGAACTCAGTATAGTTGGCAATTAACTCAATAAGTGTCAGTTTTAAACCCTAAAAGTGTCAGTGTAGCCCAGTAAAGTGTCAGTGGGAACTCCCGTATATGTCAGTTTTAACTCAGTATAAATGTCATGAAACTCAATTTTAGTGTCAGTGTTTAAAACCCTTTTAAAAATTCCCCCGGGTAAAATCAGTAAAAATGTCCCGTGTAGCTCAGTATAGTGCCCGGTAGCTCAGTATAGTGGGCAGTGTAACTCAGTAAAAAGTGTCATGAAAATCAGAGTTTTCATGTTCTCAGAATTTGTGGCAGTGGGAGCCAGTATAGGTCAGTGTAAAACCAAATAAGTGGGCGGTAGCTCAGTATAGTGTCCCCGTGTAAATCGTAAAATTCAGTGTAACTCATATAGTGTCATTGGGAAACTCAGTATAGTGTCAGTTTTACTTTAGAAAAGTTTTCAGTGTACTCAGTAAAGGTCCCCCCGGGAACTCAGTATAAGTTTAGTGTAACTCCCTATAGTGGCCCTGTAACTCAGTATAGTGTCCCGTGTAATTCATTAGTGGTCAGTAAACTCCGAAAGGGGTCCCGTGTAACTCAGAAAAGTGGGCAGTGTAACTCAGTATAGTTTCAGTGTAGCTCAGTATAGTGTCCCCTGTAGCTCAGTATAGTGTCAGTGTAACCAGTTAGGGGTTTTAAATGTAACTCAGTTTAAAATGTCAGTGAAAATCAGGATAGGTTTTAGTGAACTCGTATAGTTCATGAAATCAGTAATAGTGTCAGTGTAGCTCAGTATATTTTCATGTAACTCAGTATAGTTTTCAAATAGCTCATAAAGTGCATTAAACCAGTATAGTGTCAGTTAAAATCAGTATAGTGTCAAATGTAGCTCCGTATAGTGTCAGTGTACTTTAGTATAGGGGTCAATGTACCATATAGTGTCAGTGTAGCTCATATAGTGTCAGTGTAGCCAGTAAAGTGTCAGTGTAACTCAGTATAAATGTCAGGTAACCCCAAATAGTGGGCAGTGTGCTCAGAAAGTGTCATGTAACTCCCCCCATAAATGTCAGTGTAACTCAGTAAAAGTGTCAGGTAAACTCAGTATAGGGGTTT